TCAAGGTGCAAGGGAACTGCTCATGCTCCTGCCTTATTTTCCTCTTTCGTTCTTTATCCTGGACGCTGTCCTCTGCGCTTGATGACGAGATGTTGTATCTATCCTCGCGTGATACTCCTGGATATGTCTCTGTCCGTGGCATTCATCCTTTGCTTTTCACACCCGTTACTTTAGCAACTTCATGGGGGTTTCTGGGCGGGTAGAAATCTCAATGCACGAGGTAAAATGCTACCTGGCAGACCCAGGTGTCTCTTGGCAGCAGGTACATCTCCTCGCGCTGTCGTGGTGTAGGTGCCGACGGTGCGTTAACAGTGTTAGGGCTGTTCCTGGAACCCTTACCTGGGAATTTCCCGACTCTCACATATTTATTTAAAAATTCTCTTTGTGGCTTGAGGAGCGGTCCTAGCGAGCTTGCATGATGGATCATCTTTTGATGACAACCGACATGACTGCAGTTGCACACCTTTATTATCTTTGGCTTTTGTGTTGACCGAACCGTAGCTGGAGGAGGCCGGGCTCAGCTCAGCTGCCAGCCCGAGTCCTCACTGGCGTGGTAGCCTCGTGGTTTTCGGAGGGTGTAAAGAGGGTCGTGGCATCCCTGCTTCGCTCAGCGCGGGATGCAGCAGCCGAACAGTTGTAGTCCTGCGCCCGTTGCACCTCTCTGCCGCTGCTACACCGAGCATTTTAAACTGAAGCTGCTGGCTGATTCACTGGTGAACTTTGGCAGGTGCACAAATATTTATTGGGGGCTCAGCTGAGATAACCAAAGCACATTGCCCTGCGCTCTGCGAGCTGAGCGGAATTTCGGAACCGTGGGCTGACGGATGTGGCTTCCCGAGTCATCTCCCCCTTGCCTTCTCTGCTCTGCCTGAACTGACTGGGACAGAAGTTACTTCACAAAGGTTAGGGCTGAGCCGATCGCTGGTAGTCACCGCTTACTGAACTTCTGCAGACTTTGCTTTTAGAGCAGATTGCTACAGATGCCTTCATCTTGCTGTGTTTAAAGCACAAAACACAAGATGAAGGCCCTGCTGTCAGTGCAGGGTCTTTAGGGTAATGCGTATTCATGCTGACTGGGGAATCGAAAGCTGCTTGCAGGTGTCAGGAGGAGGAGAACAATCCAGCTTTCGAATCAAAATTCATTGAATTATCTTAAAGCCTTTTGCATCATTCCTCCTTTCCTGTAACCTGTTTTTTCCTGTCCTATTAATCCACTGATGCTGTAGTCCGTCAAAATTGAAGCTCTTACGACATCGGGAACATGAGTCGGTGACATGCCTCAATGAATCAGCGGAGGCTGGCTGGAAAGGAAACTCGCAGCACACGTACGTCTCGCCATCAGCAGAAATGGGACAGGATACGCAGAACGGACTGAACTGCTCAGCTGCTGCTGAGTGTTCGTGGTGCTGACCTGCACGCGGCACCTCCCGTTCGAAGGAGGGGGGCAGAGAGACGTGGAGCGTGGTGCGTGAGGAATGTTTTGGCTCGTGGCAGTTTCCTTTCAATTATTTAGGGTAGCTGTTCCTCCCGACCATATACCATTTGGATCTGCTCAAATTATAGATTCGGCTCTATAGTTTTCAAATTGCATGGGAAAGAATTGTCTGTAATTTACATCTAAAGTGACGTACAGTTGCTATGGGATTCAGTGGCAAATTATAAACCCATTATGCTTTTTTTTTTTATACTGGTGGTAGCAGACTGCAGAAATAAGTCTAATTGGTGATGTGCCAAGGGAAAACAGAAAGTTTGTGACAGAATCCTTGTGACCGACGGTGCTTTTTTTCAAACGTGATCTGCTTTTTATCAGCAAGTCGTGTGACACCATGAATTGGAGAAGATGAATTTGGCCGTTAATAACTTTTTGCTCTCTAGCAATGCTGGGGGAAGCAAGCTTGAGGATTAACCCTTTAGATTATTGTGAGGCTGGGTTGTTTTTCTTTAAGGTGCACAAGTGGAGTGTGTTGGCACTTGTATCAGTGGCTCTAGCAGCAGGATCCTGGTGACTGTATTCATCACCCTGCAAGACTAAACCCAGCATATTCTGTAGTTGGTGTCTTATTCCACTTAAACAGCAGCGAATGCACAAAGGAAAGCTATTGTATTTATTTTTTTTACTTCTGTCTGAAGCACATCTGAATGAACAGGGCGTGCAGGCGAGCCTCTTCGGAGCGGTCTGTCTCCCAGTGACCTCGTACCTGGGCAGCGTGTCCTGCAGCAGGTCCTGCCTCGAGTGGCCTCCGCGTTCGCCGCGAGGCAGGCAGCTCGCCGAGCGTGCCGTCGACGGGTGATCCTCCAGCATCAGGGCTTTTTCTGAGCCAGTCTGAAGTGCTCTGTCCTGTTCAGTCGGTTTTTGTCACAACGCTGCTTGGCAGAGGGACGGTGACTGTTGAAATAGTTCACTTGCATGGTGCCGACTCTTGCTGGGGTAGCAGAAGAGCCTTTATTACTGGTGAGGGAGGGGAAGGTTTGTCTGAAAAAGTGTTTGAGGTCTCATTAGTAAATGAACGTGTTATCTCCTAAACGATTTGCACCTTTCAAACAATTTAAACTCGGTTCTGCCTGTAACTCAGACTTGTGAAGCGTCTCCAAATCCCTGGTGTGTGTGCATGTTGAGAAATGGGAAGGGACAGACTGCATGCGTCACCCTTGTACTGATTTGTGCCAGCTAATCCATGGGAGAAGAATACATTTTGGCTGACTTGGTGGTTTTGCTGCTAATGCACTAGAGAATGCACTTGAATGGATGGAGTGGCCGCACGGGTTTAGGTAGACTTTGAAGAGATACTGTATGTCTGAGGCCCTGTACTAAATACCCTAATTTGTGAGCAGGGCCATGTAGTAGGCTGGGTTTATTTTGGTTTTGGGGAATGAGAGAAGAAATTGAGGGGGGGAAAGCAGTCATCACCTCAATGTCAGAACGTCAGGAAGGTTGAGATCAAGTTACCTCTGAATAATTAAGGTTAATGCTGTTTCTGGAGGAGCCATTATCTGGAGTGAACTTAATGCTAATGAAAAAAAAAAAAGCAAGCCTGATAACCTGAACTATGCTGATATTTTGTGCAGGGTGGATACAGAGGAGACATCACCAAAACTAGGCTTCTGCATTCAGCGTGCCCTAGCTTGACCTAGATGTATTATCCAGGAAAGGAGCTTGGATTTGCTGATAAGAAGAGTCTTCTGTGGTAACTCTTGTGTTGCTTAGGAACATCCCATGTACATTAGGCAACTTTTGCACACCATGGTAACCTAGTATTGCCTTTTGACTGGGTTTTGGTGTGTTTTTTTTTCCCCACAAAGATTTGCTGTAATGAAAAGCAAGATAACCCCCTCAGCAGTTGGTTTGCAGGGCTCTAGCGTGTGTCGTTGCTGCAGTGGGAAAGCAGACTTCCAAAATCCAATCATTTTTGCATTGCTCCAGCAAAAAGGCAGTCTAGAAAAAACACTGCTCCATGCACTTGGTCTCTCCCTTCTTTACATTGGACTAGTGCCTTTTTTAATTTAAAGAAACCAGCATCTGTTTAACTCGAAAAGAGGTCACCGCTTGTGAGCATGGCTTTACTTAGCTGCCCACCTCCACCCGCCTTGAGTCTTCCCTGATCTGGTGCAGTCTGATTGCAGTTAACCCTCTGCTCTCCCTCTCCGCGGCAGAACTTTTCTTGGCTTTTGTCACATGGGAGAGAATACTTTAGCCCAAAGCGTTTGTGGAAAACTGAGATGTTTTCCTTTTCTTCAGAGTCTCGTCACGCCAGCTATCACCACTGGTTACTCTTTTTTCTTATATGCAGAACGTGCAGCCATCCAGGGAGGCTCTAGGCATGGTCCTGGGGCATAGTGCTCTGCAGGAAAGCAGGTCGTTGCAAGGAGAAGGCTGGATCCAGCATCTTGAAGGACGATCTGTGCGTAGCGCTGCGGAAAAGGCTTGGCTTGTGCCGCCGGCTTCGGCCCCCAGTCCAAACCACACCGTTGGGTTTAGTGGTAGACTCAAACTTTCTGCTTTAGGTTCGTGGCTGCGTGTGATGGGGTTTAGCAAGTACCATGAAACTTCCTAAAAACAGCTAATCGCCTAAACCTTTGTAGTATTTAGATTTCATCAGTGCAAACATCCTCTTGACTACTTGGCTCAAATACTGAGATCCACGTAGTTCAGCTGATAGGCCATCCCTTGGTAAGAGCAGCTGCCTGACACCCGTGCTACTTTCGTTCATACAGGATCTGTGCTGCAAGGATGGTTTAAGCTAGTTGTCATTCTTTAACAAGAGCAGACATGTTACTTGAGCCTAGCAAAAAGCCCAGCAGGATGGAAGAAATGCTGGCTCAATCCATAGCCCTGTGCCCAAAGGATCCATATTTTCTAGAACCGAGGTGGAAGACGCTAATTTAATCTCTCTTCTATATTCTTACCCACCGCGGGCTTGTTCTGTGATGGGCTGCAATCAATACGTTATGTGCCAGTTGTGGTTATTTGAATCATATTTCCACATTTCAGTGTCTAGACTTCATGTTTGTGTGAGTTTTGTTGTACCTTTCCAGCTCCGGCGCTGATTTCAGTTATTTTTGGCTCCCGGTTTCTATGAGAAAATCAAATGGGCTGTGTTTCTGCCTTTCCCAGTCCCCAAAAAAGAAGGGAACAAGGGAATTGGCAGAACTTAGTTTTCAAGCTCGTTTGCCACCATTTTTTCTCCCTTGTGAGAGAATCTGTATGTGGCTGAGCTGGTTTCTGCCATTTGGTGACGAGCAGACGGAAGCAAAGACAAACCACTGACGGCTGGAGATAAATCTCTCCCTGGTTCTTGCACTGAGAAAAATCTACTGTGCAAAAAGGTGTGATCTTGGCATAGGCAATCGAGGCTAGAAAAAGTGAGTATGCACACATGTTTAGAAAAAAACACAACTTGATAATCCACCAAGTAAGAGCATTTGTTAAGAGCGAAGCAGCCTTTTAATGGACGGCGTCTACTGTGCTTCGTTTTTCGCCGGCAGCTTTCTTGCACTCGCAGGTGTTGGGGGCGGTGGACGTGGCTGTATTTACGTTCAGCGAGCAGGAGGGTTGCTTCGTGTTCGGGAGGTCTGAGAGCTGCTCTGTGATGCTCGGAGAAGTTGATAATGGCATGGACCTAGATTACGTTAGCCTTACTGCGACCAGAAGGTAGGATGGGCTTCGGCAACGCTAACCAGAGGAAGTAGCAGAAAATAGTGCGTAAAGCTGAGCTGAGAGTGTGTTCATTTGATTCTGAAAACAAAACTCCTGGTGTACAGTAAAGTGTAGTATGGCTAAATTGGTGAAAGGAAATAATGTTCCCAACTCGTAATTAACTTGTAAAGCTTGCTGCCATGAAATTTAAAAGGCTTAAGTGCATCTGAATAGCAAGAAAAATTGGTCATATGGTATGCAAAGAATAAAGGCTGTGGTTACGGCTTCTCTGTGCATCCCTGCCCGGCTGTTGGGCCCCCTTTTCTCCCCGGGTGTTCGAGGTGATCCAGCTCGTTGCCAAAGCCGTGGCTTTACCTCTTCAGGGCGCCGAACTCCGTGCAGATGTCAGTTCTTCCATTCCTTTCAGATCCAGGATTCAGTGGATGCATTTCAGAGCCCAGCATGGGCGGAGTAGCAAGGAGGCAAAGTTTTCCACCCTGCCTGAGCTTGGGCAAGCGGAAATTGTGCCTTGGAAGCCGTATAAGGCGAGTCAGTCGGCTCTTCTGGGCTCACCTTTCCACTGGGAGGCTGGAGAAGGGAGCAGCCCTTGCTCACAGGGAGAGCGTGAGGTCTGCCGGTCCTTTGAAGTTGTTCCCGATGCGTCCGACACTTGCCGGAGGTGTGGTGTGGCAGGCCTGATTAGGTCGCAGCAGCTCATTAACTCCCTGACTTGTGGGGCTTTAGCACGCTGTCCCAAAACGAAGGCGTAAACTCGTGATTCAGAATGAAACTGCTATAAAATGACTGGAGCTGGGAAGGAGTTGACGTGGGGCAGAGTGGAGCAGCCTCCTGTCACAGGGTTTCTTCACTTCCTTCGGCAGCCTCTGGTGCGGGTGCTGCTGACGACAGACTGCGCTGAGCAGGACTTTGCTCTCAAACGATAGTTCCTATGTCATTAAAATAGATTTTTGAAAATCTGTTCACGCTTCCAGGAGTGTTCGGCCATCAGAGCCGGTGAAGCTCGAATCGTGACCTCTGCTGCCTCTTGCAGAATGAAGAACAACGTCTGCTCCCCTAAATAGTCCCTGAAGCAGCGCGTGGGAGCTCTGCTGACCAATTTCTTTTGAAAAGTGCTTTCAGCAACATCTGTGAGAGCAGCTTCGCTCTCAGTTTCGCCTCTGCGTGCTTGCCAGCGCAGCCGTGCTTTGATGGGAGCGTGGTGGTCCGGTCCACGAGCTCAGCTGCCTTCTCTGCCAATAGATACTCAATAATAAAAATAACCTTCTGTTCTCTGTGTACTTATGTGCTCTGCATGGTCAGGTGGGGAAGTTGCTGGTACTTCTCCTGTTTGCTTTTCCTGCTGTAAGATCTGCAATGCTTCCTGCCTTAGTGGGGTCCGCATTCCCTGATGCCGTTGAAGAGGTGAGGATGGCTACCACGCCGTTTCTGAAAGCTCCTGGGTCCTGTGCACCTCGGAGATGGTCTGGCACGTGTAACGGATGGCCACCAATCCTTGTCTTTATTCCAGAAATAAAGTGGGGTTTGCTGAAGGAGGACGATGTAGCTGAGCGAGTGTATTGTAATAAACCAGTTCTCCCAGCCTGGAGTCGAGGAACAGACCCGTGCTGATGGAGAGTCCCGAAACTCGCAGCTTTGCTGAGGAAGTGGCTTTTGGTTTAATCTTGAGAAGTGTGGAAATGGGAAGGGGGAGGTAGTAATGGATAAAGGATAAAGTAAAGCATACTTAACCTTTATGAACATAAACGGCATATCTTAGATCTGTTTGAAACATGCACTTTAGCTGACGTGGAACGTGGTGGTGATTAAAACCAATTGCAAACATTTTTCTAGAGGCGTGATTCTGAAATCGTTTGTGAATTGTTTCAGGACTTGGTTCTTAATGCATTAAAATGGTACGGTGGCAATGACTGCATTAAGATCGAGAACACTGTCTTTTTGGGTCTCTTAACACGAAGGGAAAAAATAGATTTATTACCTAGAAGGTTTGATATTATAGCATCAGGCATGTTTCCGTGACCTTCCTTCTGAATCTCTGCAGTCGTTTGCACTGGAGATGTATCTAATGTAGGTGCTGCCTGCATCTGGCCACAAGTTTTAGCACTCTCACACAATTAAGGCTGTTTAACTCAATATGAAGGCCTTTTACTTGTCATTAAGACTAAATTTACAGACGCTGACAGCAGGAAGAAACACACTTTTGTTCTAACCTCGGATGGGCTCAGCGAAGAACGCAAAACGTTTCAGCTAACTAGAACTTGGGCAGATTGTTATATTTAGACTAAAAATTCTGGTCAGACAATAAAGTGCCGGCTGCGTGGCCGAACCGCTGCTTTGGCATGTATGAATTAGACTGACTGCCTCAGCTCACTCTGCCAGGCGAGAGATTCTCTGTCTTAATGCGTGAAATCTCGGGGGACTTTTGGGCTTGGACCCAGGGAGTCTTTTTGCAGCTCTGTGGTCAATCTCGTATTTAGTCAGCAGAGGTGGCGTGTTTTTACTGTTCTTATCTGAAAATTTTTCATGTTCATTTTTGGAATTTGTTGTAACCTGAACTTTCACAGGTGTCCTTGCGGGGAGCGAAGAACCCTCTGACTTCTGTTTTTTGAGGTAGATTTTTGCCAGTTGAGAAGAGTATGTTCTTTCTTTTACTGTTTGTCGCTTTATTTTTGGAGCAGGTTTGTTACCGACCAGCCTGGCAGTGCAAATAAAGACATAGCTGAAACAGTGTGGGTTCTGTGCTGCTTGCCGAAGGAGAGAGAGAACCTCGCTTCACTCGGTAGAGGCTTCCTCAGGCAGCTGCCTTCGCTTTGCTATGGGAGAAAGCAAGCACCCCTGGAAGATGGTGGTTTTGAGGAGGCTGCTGGCAGTGATGTGTTAGCAGAGGGTATGTAATGCCATGAGGTTGTAACGTGATAGAAAATCTATGGGGGTTGTCATATTCAATACTTTCAGCTGGATTTTTCGTGGGCAGCTTCCCTCAGTGATGGAAAAAACCTGGCGTTTGTGATTACCCCCAACTCCCCCATGAAGATGGTGAGATGGTGGGAAATTGCAGTGACATCCCTGCTGAATACTGAGTTTCTGTTGTGTTCCCAGAGTCCCACTCAGCGTTCGAGCACCTCGGTTTGCCTGCAAGCCTGAAGAAGCCGTGCCTGAGCATCTTGCTTTAGCTTTCGAGCTTGATCTCGCTCGTGGGGTATGGGTGGTTGGGTTTCTCCGGGATTCCTTTAGATCCTGGCTCTGCTGGCTTTGGTTTATCGTAGCCTCTTCCAGCAGGGCTGGCTCCGACTCCGTGAGGAACATCTGAAGATTGTCTCGAGTAGAACTTTGGCAGACTAGTAATTACACTTCCCTTTAAGTGTCAATAGGATATAGTTGGGCATAGGGAGAAAACTGGTCCAGGCTTGTTTTCCTCGGCTCAGCAGTGTGTGTGTTAGGTGAGATTTGTTCTGGAATGGTTGAACGAGTTAGTCAATCTGATCTCTAAATTGCCTTTCTATATTTTTCTCTTGGAAGAAAAGTAGTAAAGCTGTGTGGAAGATAAGGATCATCCTGATGTTTCAGCAGCTCGTTTAAGCCATCTTATGAGCACATAGGCAAGTGAATCAGCCCTGGCGTCTTAATATGTCCTAAAATAAATTAGACTTTCGCAAGCAAATTCGGTGGGTTAGGACTGCTGTATTTTCATTAAAAGATTGCAGTGGAGAAAACACTTTAAAATTCAGCCTTAGGGTTGTGTTGTTCATTAACTGATAGTCACTCCTGTTTACCTTGTGTGATAAGTACAGGCTAACAGTGCTGATGCCGTCACAGCTGCCCTTCAGAGAGAATTGCTCTCGGTTTTTTATGGCTTGGTTTACTGACAGGTGGGTTTTTTTGAACTAAAATAAATGCAAACAGCCAGACCGTACATCTCCTAATCATGGAAACCGACTTTTTTCCTTGTTCTTAGCAGCTTGGTAACGCCGTTCTCGGTACAAAGGTCATTTAAAAATCTGACATGTCAGGCCAGCAGCATACTGCTTCTTAATGAGCCTTGAATCCAGTGTGTAGCTGCCTGGTGGAAATAATTTGACTCTGGAGCAGCGGAATAGAGGGAGGCGTGCGAACAGCTCGCTGGGACGGGCTCGCTTGACTTCTCTTGCAGCAGCCCCCCGGTATCTCTAGGTAGCCCTTGGTACCCGAGTATCTGCAGTTTGCTTGCGTAATGGGGTTTTAATTTTTCTCTTGTTATGCAAATAAGCACCGGTGTTTGACAGCACATTCTCAGAAGAAAAGCAACTAAAGTATCTTCAAAAATACACACGTGTGCTATTTTAGAATGATTTCTCCCCATGTTTCAGAACTTGAGGTTCTCTCCTGCTAGCCGTGGCTTCTTGCTGCGCCGTAGCCGCCATTCAGCAAGACGGCAAGGAGGTCCTGCTCTGCCTTCATCGCCGTCTCGCTTGAACCCTCCCGTCCCTCCTCCCTAGGAGGTCCCTTCACGTTAAACTAAGAGCACTTGAACCTGCAGTTCCTTGTCCTCTGTGAAGCCTCCTCGGTAGTTTGAATGTCTGAGGGCTTTTGCTCTAGTCCTGTTCCCCAGCACTTCAAGCGCCAGTACTGGAATTTCAGCACCTTCAGCCTCGCCTCAGTCTTTGTGGCTCTTTGACTGTTCTCCAGTTAAAACTAGGTCAGAAACCACTGTCAGCTGCTGATATTTCACTATTCCTGTTTTATAAGTTGTAGCCCAGTGTTGCTCTGTGTTTAATCGCTTGCTTTAATTTTAACGTATTAAATGTCTCATCTCGCTCTGCACGAGCAGCCTGACAGAGGAGAGCTGGTAAAACTGCTCAGGATAACATCTTGGCTGTAACAGCAATGCTAACTTGATTGGGTCTGAAAAGGTGAATTATCTGTTTGCTACCTCTAGTGCCTGAGATGCCAAACTGATGGATTTTTTCCACACGCACTCTCTAACTGTACAGTTCGTGCACAGCCAGTTTTCTGGCTGT